CTCAATTCTACAAAAACAAACAATTCAAATTACCTGTCCAACTAACAGGGCTAACATTGCTAAATAAGCATGAGGTTTGTCTGCATGAGCAGCCATTAGATGTTCAAGAGCAGCAAAGCCTGCGCAGTTTTGTAACTCTGGATTAATATCAATCTTACTGCCAACTGAGCCACCATGAGCAGAAACGGAGAAACCGAGAACCACCTAAATCATGCAAATGAGGTGAATGGTGAGGCTATTTGCTAACTTCAAGCACTCACAGCTGCTCTGTTCCTTACTACAGAATCCGCATCCGTCAGCCAACCACCATTAGCTGTTCCTTCACGGAACTTACCCAGCAATGGTGGATGTGCTAACAAACCGAGAAGAATTCTCAGCGCCAAGAAGACAGTTCCCGAGTGGATTCCAGGAGAGAGGAGACAATACACCCAGTCAAACCCCAGCACCCGGACTATCTGATCTGCCATACTTAAACAAAACAATTTTAGCCAATGTAAACAAGAGTGAGTTAAAGATAAGTCTCACTGTTGGTTCAGTTGTGGACTAGAATGAGATAAGAAGTTCGCAATCATATTCAGCAGGCGATTTCGTACGTAAACATTGTATAAACTACTAGGCTGACCTAGAAAAAAGATCATAAGGAATCAGAATTCCTAATTTTTCGGTTGAGTTAAGCGAATTTTAAAGAAGTAAACATTATGTTATCAGGAGAAAAAAGTTGATTTATGACAAGAAAAGTCTCCAGAAAACTGCGAGTAATTTATTCTCTACAAGTCTAAAGTCCTACTCAGACGTAAGTGAGATGTAAGCATCACATTTGATAGGTCTTGAGGGAAATGTCAATTTACCTTCATTCGGCTTCTGATTTGCTAACAACTGGTTTTGCAGTTCTGAGATGTGGAATGACATCCGTGATTCCACAACAAGATCTTCAGCTCTAAAATGAACAAACACATTATATGTCATAGGAGTCACCTTCAAAGATAAGTGGCTTCATTTTTGATAAGATATCAATATTTACGTTGTTGGCAGCGTGGCAGCTATTGCCTGCCCCAATTTAAGCATACTGCGATTATCACATTGTGGCTGAACGATCGCTGAGAGCAGACTGAAGACTATTTCATTTGTTGCCCACAGTAACTGCGGCCGATCAAACAAAGCGAAAAGCACTCTAGATAGCAACGGTGATCGTCGTACAATAGCCAGATTCTCCCGCTGGTGACTGCAAATATCAAAGTTTTGAGTAACTTCGTATCAATTACTAATCAAAACTGCTTTTACTTACTCTGTAATGAGTTCGTAGAAGTGCTCATAAAGCATTCTATGCTGCTCATCAGGTGCACTTGCCCAGACATCTAGATCACAAAGCAGATCCTCAAATGCCTTAAAACGCTTTTTAACAAGATAATTCACTCTGTTGACAGAATATGTTTTACCTGAGCGTTCGGGATGGTCGCTATTTCTCTGGCTGTATCCAGTGTTCCGGCCATGCTGAATATCATATGCATGATGTGAGAGTTCAGCAAGTTTGCTTTGTCTTCCAGAAGTACAGCCAGAGTCTAGAACCGAATATTCGTAACTGGTACAAATTCGGAGAATGAAACTTACCTGATAGGCTCTATTAGCGTGCAAAGTCGCTTGTAGATTGCTATTTGACCTTACGGCTGAAACAACCGCTTTCAAGCTTGCGTAGAGTCCTTCTGAATCAGTCGCCATAGCCACTAAACCATACAGACAAGCAAATCCGCCCATAGAGTCAAGAAGACGAGGTACGGGTCTAGGGATGAAAGTGCGCATGCCCAAATATCTGCAAGAAAACATATTAGAATTTCAAGAAAGGAATTTCATCTTAGGAAGATGAATGTATTCACCATAATCTAGTTTTTGAAAGAAAATCTTGATGTGGATACTAAGAACTACTGATACCCACCCAATAATCACTGCCCCAAAAGCTCTCCCAGCTCCAGGAGCATGTGATACCGTATTCAGCAATATCCTAAGTGGCGTGCTATTGTCACTTGATGAGATGCCAAGCTGCAAGAAAATTACAGTTATATTAAAAAAAAACTCATCATAGTCATGCAAAGAAGTATGCGCTTTTCTCATATTTTAATTTATCTTCACATTTTCCAGCTTTCGTATGGTCTGCTATAAGAGTCAACTGTCTCCACTATCCTCGGTTCAAGACATGGTGTTGATCTATCCTAAATTGTCTCAAGGGCTCCAATTTAGTCCATGCCCTCATCTTCGGCCTTCCTCGTAGTCGTTCTCCATGGATTTCCACAGTCATTGCCATTCTTGTGATGTGTGTCTCTTCTGCTCAAAGCCCGTGAACAATCACTGCTATACAGCGCTGTTTGATGAACCACAGGTACATTTGGAGAAAGCCACACTGGTACTTTTGTCATATAAAACTGAAAGTTCCATTTCACCTCGGTTTGCGTAGCTGACCGACAGCTCATCTTGAAGTCTCCTTCCCCAGAGACGCAACTTCCTAGGCACCTTATAGGTAGTGTCCGGGAACGATCGACACCAGGTTTCATTTTTCTGGACCATTTCGGTGGAACACGAATAACAACTTCAGTGAATTTTAAAAAGAAAACAGAGTTTTCGAGCCATCTCTGAGGGGACGAATGGCAGAAAGACGATCCGAAATTCTCGACTTCCACCCAAAACGATCCTGCTTTGATAAGAGCATTTGAGCTAAAAACACTGCTTTTGAGGAAGCCAAACAATGGCAGTGATGACGAGGATATCATTGTGGGTGGAGTGACCTAAGAGGCGATTTGATATAAACGTCCGGAGGGGTTTTTTTCGCTCCACAGCAAATTGTTGGCCTATATTTGGGAAATAGCTCAGTTAGAGAATAGGCTATCATTATCTGATAGGAACTCAAAATCCTCAGTTCTACCCAGCACTACCTTCAAGAGTACTCGTCTACTTTATTGGCTGGTCATCACTGTGTATGATTTCCGAAATTGACCTCCACTTCCATATATTCCGTAATCTTTGAATAGAGCTTCATACGAGTCTAAATAGTCAGTCTATCTCTGTACCTCATCCGAGTCTTTCCTGCTTTCTGCCATCAACGCACCATCAGCAGAGACCTGGAGGCCGTCGCTTGAGACCTCCCGTCACAGCGTCCATGACTGTGCTGAGTAGTAGAGGAGAGAGTATTGACCCTGCTTTACCGTTCTTTATGCGCCATAGTTTTGACTGTCCTGCGGCCATTTGCACATGGCTCGTAACTCTGTTATAGATATTTTTTATCCATTGGATACTTACCATATGAAATCATGGTACCTTGTCGAAAGCTGTCTCCATGATCAGGAAAGCTGCATGTGGCCCTCTTTGTTTTCCTTTATATTTCTCTCACGTACGGTATGGATTGCGCCGACAGTATCGGGAGCTTTTACAAATCCGTCACTGATTGGATGACAGTTTACGATTGCCCACATAGTGTTTCACGCAATCTTTCGAAGATCTTCAGAGTGTGGCTCATCAACTGTGTCATAAACTGCATTCTAAACTCTGCAATACCGCCTTCACTCTTCCATCGGAATCGTTGTGTTTTCAGACCAATTATGGGATATGCTCTCAGCTATGATGACCTGATTGAAGAGGCTTGCAAGACAATACACCAAGCCGTCCGCATTTTTTCCGGAATCGCTTGGGATGTCACATGGACCGGTAGCCTTGCCGTCTTTGTCTTTATTATCGCAAGCCCTAGTCGCTCTGCTGTGATTTGTGCACTGGTCCTTTCAAAAGGACAGCTGATGGGATGGCTGTTCCAGTGCTGGTAGTGGACGCCTTTCCTCGGAGTACACTCGCCTTCTCTCAGTTATCTCCTGTGGTCTTCCTTGACTAGGCTGCTATGGTTTTCCACATAAGGCCGGTGAAGTATTACCACAGCAGAATCGGCCAGAGAGTTTTCTCACAGCTTCTAACATTTTAGTCGTCTTTGTTATTAATCATTTGTCTAGAAGTAGTGGGTTATGCTGAAGTTTGCAGCTTTCAACTGGGATAACTTTGCAGTACTTTATTAGGTTATTGTAACGCACTGCCCGATAGTCAATTTGTCTTTTCTTAAAGTGATCAGATGCTTATGCTTCTTAAAGTACGTGTTGACTAATGCTACACTGTAGACTGAAGTAGAAAATGCTCTTCTTCATTGCATGTCCCTATCCGTGTTACCGTGACACTTTCCTGCATCATTTCTTCCTCCCACATGTCCATGAAGGTCTGTCTATGTCACGCGAAAGTGTCTCAACCTGTGGTATAAATGTGATATAATGGTCTAGCTCGTGACAGTATGCAATCTCCCCTTGCATTTGACTAGCTAGTGAATTTCGAAGGCTTTTCTCTGTTTTATACCCATAAGTGAATCATCGCAATTTTGCCTTCTAGGCTTTCTGGAACAACTATACCGCAATTCGACTACTGCTCTGCCAATGCAAAAAAGCTTATAACCATCTTCAATATCGCATGATTTCCCACCATTCCATTTCGTCTCCTGTACGCGAGTACGCTCTCCCTCTCTTCAGGGGATCCGCCAACACTCGATATCATCCAGCGAGGTTTTTGACATTGACGATTGCTAATCGCGGACTTTCGGAGCTGGTCGAAGAGTTGACATTCTCCACCCGTTTCCGCTCGTATGGTGGCAGCCGTTGTACTCTGTGCACCTATCGAGCCCGTGTGCGTGGCGTGTCGCTACCGGAGGACGCTCCTGCTTTTACTCAGTACTCTATTTGACAATGAGCCCATTCAGATGCAACGCCGCAAGTTCCCTGATGTAAGATTTCTTTTCATCTATATTGCCTCAGTCCACTTTCCACACCCTTTTCCCTCGAAGAATTAGAAAGCCAGCGATAATAATGATCTGAGAAGATAAACATAATTCAATACTCATCAAAAAAGCCTTAATCCTGCTTAACACTTCGTACTACAGAGAGAACAGCAAAACGCATTTAGCTAAGAATAAGAACACGTTTACTAATGGGGAAAAATCAAAGCAAAAGATTAAACGCTCACATGAGGTGCTAATATTTCTGCATCCAATTTGTTGTACAAAGTGCGAATCTTGGCAAGAGTCATCTCGCTGGTAGCCATTCCATTAAGAGCAAAGACGATCTGTTTTACCACAGTACATTAACATCTAACTCAAAAATGCCATTTTACCTTTTCTTCCTGCACTAAAGATGTTCGTTCCGGCCCTATTGCCTGCAAACTTCCAACATAGTGTGGTTGCAAATCATAAATACTGCGAATTGCCTCTGATGACAATGGCTCTTCGATGAGGAAAGAAGAGGCTAAGCGATACCTGAGATGAACATTAGAACTGGTTTAGCCTTGAGGCGTTCAGCTTCGAGATTATAGAGTGTTAGCTGAGCACATCTACTCTCACAAATACCTCAACCGACTCGGTCTTCTCATGCTTGGTAAAGTGCCGATCATGGCATTCACAACGTGAGTCTGTGCCAACTGCGTAGCTGCCCCACCCGCAGTCTGCACGATGTATTGTAGCTTTTGCGTAGAGACAATTCGGCCGTTCAAGTACACAGTCGCCTGTAGAAGACTCCCTCAGAAAAAAGCTTGTAAAAAGCCAAGAAGACCTGCCTGGCTAGGTTTCAACACTGAACGCGACAAGACTACGCAGAGATGAGTCCATTCCATCGGGCGAAGTATGTCAGCCATAGCTATTCGAATAGCCTAGAAATTTTACCAGTGAAGAAATACGACCAAAGCAATGGTTATGTCTACAAGACTACAGTATGAAAGACAGAATGATCGTTAACCTAACACAGTATACGGGGAATGGTCGCGGAAAAAAAGCTATTAAAGAGATTGCTTAGTTTTCAAATAATAATTAGTGCACAGTTGAGCAAATGCATTTGATTTACTTTTTCAGAGGGTATTTTCGCTTCCTTCTCCAAATCACCTCCGGGGTTTTCATGCTCATCTGTAGATATCAATAAACTGCGATCAATTGGACTGATCTGAATTGTCAGGCAGGCTAGATGACATGGTCCCTGGAATGAATAATTCAAAGGATTATTAAAATGATACTGAAAAGAAGAAAAGAGTAGTAATTAAGAAAGACCACTACTATGGCTTTTCAGTAAATAAATTAGGTCACCTAATCAGTGAACTTTTGCGGTCTGTAGATATGCGGTATAGAAGATGATGCTAATATGATAATGAGCCATGAATGCACTGCCCGGGTGAATTATCATTTTACAACCTCGTTCGTAGGTGCCACAGCCGTCTAATTGACTAACCGAAACAGGTTGATTGGAAAGAAGTTCGATAAGAAAGAAAAATAAACTCAGACACAAAATGAGTGCTTGATATGCCGAATGGAATTCTCATTTCAATTTCACCCATTCCACGAAACACTTTCCTGAGTTGCCTTATCCTTCATAATCGTTTTCAAACTGCAGAGTCGCGCAAAACATGGAAAAGCTGTTGAATTAAGGAAAATCCATGACTAGGTTTTGGATTTAGTGCGTGAAGTTCGGCAAAACTTATTTTTATGACCTCAAAAAGGAAAAGTTTATTTATCATCATTTGTTCTCGTTTTTACTTCCTCAGCGAAATAAGATCTACATATAAGAACACGATATAATTTGAAGTCAAGAATCATAAATGTTGCTTTAAAAATAGAGTTCCTGGAACTACAAAAAGTGCGAAAGCAATTTTCAATAATACCATGCCTGCTTTCGTCTTTCGTCTTGCCACGTTACTGTCCTCGTTATTGTTAACAGCCTCAGGGGATGAGCATCTAACTTTTTGTCCGAGAATGCATCGATATACAACCAGCTAAATATAATTTGGTTACTTTACTAAGATGATGAATTAAGGGAAAATTTAGTTCAAGATAGCAAAATGGACTCACGTGGACAAAGTAATTCCATTCAATGGCGGAAATACTCTCTCGGTTCTGCTTGTAGAAAAGAGTGGAGCCAGTGATGGTATAAATAGACAGCCAAATCCCTCCATGGCTAGATCAGTTTCTACGAAGGACGGGGCATGTGAAAGACGCTGATCTCGTGGCGTCATCATTGACACCAATGCCTTCACCCTACAAGATTATAAAAAAATTTTTTTGGAAGTCGATTGATTACGAAAAGCTTGGTGAAAATAGAGCGAACAAAACCAACCATATGACTAGGTTGCTCATAATCTTCCGTGCTTATCTGCTGACGCTTTTCATGCAAGTGTAAGTAATTTAACTCGCTTTCCAAGCTCTTAACATCCTCTTTCATCCTTTCCCCAGGTCCTTTGAATTTGTTTGATTTTTGAGCTAAGAACTGAGATTACTAGATTGATGCAAACGGCTTGATCCATTAAGGTCCGTTCTATTCACAGGCTCGCTCGTGCCACTGTAAACCCCGATAGGTTCGCGCGGGAAGTCAAAAAGTATAAAAAGGGCTACAAAGCCATGTCTAGCAATCACTTCAATCCTTTAAATAATTCCTAGTATGCCCGGAAAAGCATTCACACCGTCTCAGCATAACTTTCGGCACGCTATGCTGTCCTCTTCGGCGTGAATGCAACCAAGCTATCTCCTCCTGCTCGAAGTGTTCGCTAAGGATCCCGCTCTCAAATAACGGCACCTTAGTTTGCAAGATTCGCTGATGGCGAGTTCGGCTTCGAAGATGATGACAGATCGGCCGCCCCATGGAGCTCGATTTG